TTTGATCAAAGGTTGTGTGGGGGACGCAGGCCCCAAGCTCCCCCTCCGGGAGAGGGCTGATCTCGGGAGAGCTGTGGGCTCCGGACTCCTCGCTCGTGTGAGAGCCGCCGCTATTCAACTCCTTGCTCGTGGGGAGAGGGCTGCCGCTCTCCGGCTCCTCACCTCGCGGCGCAGCCCCTCGGGTCTGCGGGTCCTGTTTGGGGGGCATAGCTCGGGGCTGGCGCACGGCTGCCTGAAATCAATCCGCCGCTTCTCAGCCACTCAAACATGACGCCTCCGCTCACACAACCCCGTACACCACTCGCACGCGCTGAATGGGGGGTCAGGGGTCGGAGGGCAATGACGTCCTTCGCACACGCGTTGCCGCCGAGGGCAGGCAATGGAGATTGTTTAAAGGGCTACGGGGCGGGGATTCGGAGTCGGTTTTCAAACGACACACCAATCGCACACGCAGGACGGGGGGTCGGGGGATAGAGGGCAGGGACGTCACTCGTACACGCGTTACGGCGAGTGCCCACACACCACCCGACACTTTCCTCACACACTCATAGAAACCAAACGAGGCTGTTATCGATCACTAACGATTTATTCCCTGCGTGTCTGCGAGCTACTATTACCTGAATCAGTCTGAGTCAGCAGGGCAAGTCTAACCTATTTCCCGATGGTCTAAACCCGATCTACCTCGTCTACCTGGAATTAAACTCCCTAGGATCTTACGCTAAAACCCAACTCTCTCTGGTGTACTCACGGTTCGGCTCGGATGTGCAGGAAGCTGTGGAGAGGCGAGGCTGCACGAAGTTCTCGCTGGGAATGGGGCCTGGCTGCGCTGAGACTCGTCTCATGGACGATCCAGTGGCCGGCAAGGTGACTACTCCGATCCCTGACTTGAGAAAAACACGACTACTTTATCCCTACCTTATCTTGCCTTTTATTGTTCACTATATCAAAGAGAATTCGGCGCCGATCTGCTGGCCTTCCCGGCCAATCAGGTGGCTCAGATTTCCCGAAACTCTCCCCGGACCGGTGCTCTCTCAGACGTCCGCACTTTACCTTCTACATCAAAAGGGGCGACCGTGGGGCTGCTGCATTGGTGCACAAGCACATTTGTCCTACCAATCAGAGGGTCGGCCCTGTTTTTCCGCCATTCGTGGCTCCGCCCCCCTACCTGCCTGCTGACCCGTGTGTGTCGTGTGTTTTCTACCCACGGTGGCTGAGCGGCCCGTCGTCACCATGTAATTACAACCCAAGTCACGGTGCCGCGGTGCGAGTTAGGGGGAGATCGCCCAATTCCCTGGCCGCAGGAAATCGTGAAGATTAGTCCCATGAGAGGGCTTCTGGGTGAAAACCTGTTGGCCAGGTGACCTCCCCTCGGGGCCCTATGTGGGGGTGCGTGTGTGTTCATGTGGGGGGTGGTGAGGGAAGAGCAGCGTCGACCCCGTCGCTCTGAGGTGGCGGCGTCGCGGCCACGGCGTCGGCAGAATGGCTTCACGGCTGCGGTATCACAGTTGCACTGATTGCGCGTACCGCAAGCCGCTATTGCAAAAATCTCAACCCCCGTTATAGTCCATCACGGTGTCCCGCATTAACGAATTGGTTGCGCTGAACATCCTGGGACCCTTCCCGGCTACGCAAAAAGGGAATAAATGTATCCTCGTCGAGGTTGAGTATTTTTCCCAGTGGCCAATGTCCTGCCCATTTCCTGACCAAACAGCTGCATCCATAGCTGATACATTTTTGCACAGCTATGTGATGTGAATAAGGGGACCCCCGAGCAGCTTCTCACGGACCAAGGTCGAAATTTATCGTCCAAGCTGCTGCGTGAAGTGTGGGATGTGCTGGGCACAAAAAATATTAGAACATCGCCATACCATCCCCAAACAGATGGTATGGTGGAACACCTGCACAGAACCCTGACATTGATGTTCTGGCAGGCAGTTAATGAGGCACAGACAGATTGGGATTTACATGTTCCGGGAGTCTTTGCAGCATACAGGATGGCCCCACACACCTCTATGGGATTCTCCCCTTTTTTTCTCATGTACGGGCGGGAAAATAAAACCCCATTGAGGCACAATTGGGTATGGCCTCGGGGGAGAAGAAAGCAGCCATGCCCGTTCTCCTGCAGGTCACGCTGCGTCGTGTCTCTGAAGCTCGTGAAGCGGCCAGAGAAAATACTGCTAAGACGCAAGCTGTTAATGAAATGAATGCAGGGTGGCGCGAGCACGTGCTTAAATGGGCAATCGGGGACAGAGCCTAGTTATTTTGCCCTCAGATGCCGCTGGGTATGTCTCCAAAATTACATCGGCCGTGGCAGTATCATGTTCAGGTGGTGGAAGCCAGGAGGCCTCAGTGTGTGAAAATTCAGGCGGGATGCCACCATTGGTTCGTTCACCTGTCGCGCCTGAAACTATATGTTCAGCCTCCTGCTGACAGCTCACTTCCAAGCCCTGTGCGGCCAATGTCTGGTGTGTCCGACGGGCCGGGGAAATCGGCCAAGGAAATTGTGCCTCAGAAAAATGCATTGTAGCGCCCACAGTTTCCAAGTCCCTGAAGTCCGGGGAACCTCAAGAAGTTGCCACATGCAATGGACCGCTGGCTGCAGCCCGGTCAAATTCCTCCGCAGAGTCCAAGGATGAGCCTACCCATTCAAGGCTTTTGTGCAAGCCCCCGTTGCCCGGAGAGGCACAGAAATCTGCGCAGAGCAATGGGCCGGCGTCAAGGCCCCGGTCAAAGTGTTTATGCTTCCACTAAGCGGATCTCCCATGGCCATGGCGGGTGTAATGGCGTACTCACACGGACACTCTTAGCTTTTCTCCTGTGTTACTTTATTTACCTTGCATCCAGTGTGGATGTTCCTCACTTACACTAACACACACACACCCTTGTTCTGAACTCTCCGATTTCCCCCTACTCATCTCCGCACACCTCGTGCGCGGTAACCGCTCTGTCTCCCCGCTATCTCTCTCATTCTATAATTTGCTATCTCTCTCACTCTATACTTCGCTATCTCTCTCACTCAATACTCCACTAACCTGTCCTGTTTCCCTCATACCTCCACCCTCGTCCCTGCCCACAGCAGGGGATCAGCCAACACTGCTGGGGAGGACGAGGTGAGGAGGGCGAGGTCCCAGGCGTCTTCTCCCCGACTCTTGTGTTCTTCATCCCTTGAGCACCAACCAACCAACTCCCCGTGCTGCTCCGCACACTCCTTTATTTATCCCTCCTCATTTGGGGTCCTCACTTACCCCCCATTAAGCTGGCACTTCTACAGCACCTCCGGCATGCACTCTCTCTCTCTTATCGTCTCCATCTCCAGCCTCTCCAATGTCTACTCCATGTTCCAACGCTCGCACCTGCTTGTCCGCAAATGCACCCGCTCAATTAATGCTTCTCCCCCTAATTTCTGCCGCCTCTCCGGCGCCTAATCCATGTCTCGATGCTTGCACCTGCTTGTCCCCAAATGCACCCGCTCAATCACTGCTTCTCTCCCTAATTACTGCCTCCTCTCCGGCGCCTAATCCATGTCTCCCCGCTTACCTCTGCGCGACCTCAGTTGCACCCTGTCTTTGCTATCCCTGTGCATTACGCCACTACACATGCGGGGTTTTCCGCCCTAATGTGTGTCGGGCGTCCGGTTATTTATGCAGTTCGGGTGCCTTAATGTTCGTCGGACATTGGGTAAACATTAAAAAAAATATCTGATGCGGTTCTTCGGCCCTGATGCGGGACACTGTCGTTATGAGCCAAGACGGCTGTGTTTTTGAGAAGGGGGGAGGGATTGATGTAGGGACAGTGCGGGGAGAGAGAGACAGTGCGTGGCCGAGTGGTCACGAGGGGTAATTACAGAAGGGAACCATCTGGGAAGTTCGGGAATTCGAGAAAGGGGGCGTGGCCGGGGGCGTAATGAGGGCCAAGCCGGGAATAATAATGGGTGAGAGGAGAGGTTTGGGGCTGCCGTGGGATCGGGGTCGTCTGTCTTCACATCGTTGTCTTCGCGTTGTCGCTGTCTTTACGCCATCGCCACTTGCGTGCCATCCCTGGCCGAAGTCACCTGTGCGTTGTCCCTGGGCCAAGTGATCTGTGCGTTATCCCTGTCTTAGTCGAGTTATCTGCGTGAAACGCCCTAAAAAATAAATAAAGAAAACTTCTACAGTTCGAGTTGTCAGAGAGTCACTACACGACTACTATACAGTACTACTATTATTTTGATTATTTAACCAGGTAAGGCCTATTGGGCTATATAGCTATTTTTCAGAAGCGACCTGGCCACAATTGATAGCTCACCGAATTGGTTTATGTTGTGGAATTTATAGCAGCAAAATACTCTAAACGCATGTTTTTAATGTGGAAAAAAAACCGGAGGACCTGGAGAAAACGCGACCATGGGGAGGGAACATGCAAACTCAAAATATACAGGCGTCAGGGTTGGGATCGAACCCATGACTGAATGTATACCATGCGAGGTAGTTAACATCTTGACACTTTGGTGCTCTGTGTTTGGAATTACTATTTGGAGGCATCTGACCAGCGTATCGAAAATCACGATGACGAAGTGAAAGAAGACAATAACAATTTACATGTAAATAGAAAATATGTAAGAAAGTGTAATATAGGAAACCGGACGAGAATCAGAGAAACATATTTTGAGTGATAAATTAGTGAAAGCTGCAGATGAGAGAACAAAATAAATTGGTTCCATTTTGAAGTCTGGCATTTCCCAAGGTTTTTAACCATTCTGGTTAATCGGCAATCATGTGTAGTATAACCTAACACGCGGTGCCAAACCACATGTAGACGAAGAAAAAAAATGTGCCACAAGGGCACGAATAAAGGAATGTGCAGCACTTGCATATAGGCTGAAGGTAATGTATGCTTGTGGGTGACCTTTTCAGCAAGATAACCCCCCACCTACCCCCAATAGCCCTCCAGCCCGGTTGTAACATTCCCAATCCATCCATCCACACTCCTCTCCTCCCCATTCCATCTCCGAGTCTTGCTTCAACCCCACTCTCTCCCCTATCCCTCTCCCTGCCTCCATCTCCCCCGACCTCCTCCCTCCGGGAGGGGGGGGGGCTTAGCCAGGAGGGATGGGCTAGGGGACAGCCTCTGGCCATGAACAGAACAGAGGAGGGTCGGGCCGAGAATTTTATTCGCGAAGCGCCGCACATTTACGGTGGCTTTTAAAGCCGGGTGAGCCGCACTGTGCGGGAGACCTTGCCTCTCTCCGCGCCATTTATGTCATCATCGTCTCATGTAGCTCTCTGCGGTGGGGAGAGGGGGGAGGGGGGCGTTCTCCCCCATTGTTCGTCTTCTCCTACTGGCACACACGCACACCATGGCTGCTGTGGTGAGTGAAGGACGGATCTTTAAGTACGGCGAGGACTGCAAGACATCTTGGAAGGAGGCGGGCGCCCAGTACGATGACACTGACACCCATCTGCAGATCATGGGCAAGCCCGTGATGGAGCGCTGGGAGGCACCCTACATGCACAAGCTGGCGTCCATCGCCAGTTCCAAAGGTGGGTTGAACTTGCACATGTGCCCTGTGTACTATCACATCTCTGCAAGGACACATTTGCATTGTCACGTCGCTGCAAGGACACATTTGTACTATCACGTCTCTACACGGACACATTTGTATTATCACGTCTCTACACGGACACATTTGTACTATCACGTCTCTGCACGGACAGATTTGCATTATCACGTCTCTGCACCGGATATATACCGGATAGAGAGGATTATTTCCACATTATTGCGCAGTGCAGTTAAAAAATGTTTACATTTATGGTATTCAAAGAGTTGTTACTCCTTTGCAGAAAAGATGGAATGAATGTTTGCCCAGCATTGACCGTGTACCGATACTGAATTCATTTTCTCATCAATTTTTCCTGAATAATCTGTTGATTGTATTTATTTAACCAGGTCAGACACCTCGACGATATTCAGTGTTGTCACACAATGGCAGTTATGGGCAACCATGGCCACGCAGAACTGTCCTTGATGAATATGCATTTTTTTTCACAGCACATCACAAATTTGTTTTTAGCCGTGTACTTTACCGCCGCACGCGTCCACGTGCTTAAAAGCTAAGCGTGTCGAGTATTCGCGTGGCCACCTTTGGATTTTCAGAGGGATCGGGCTTTACAAGAAGGTGGTAGGGGCTGTGTATTGCCATAAAGGCGAAGTTGTGCCCTCTTTGTCACGAGTCCTATAATGGAGTCGAGCCGCATGGCTGGGCCCCGTCGTTTGGTGTCAGCCTCGGCAGTGAGGAGGGATGGGACGGGCCGGGATGCCCCCCCCTCCTCCTCTTTGTGTTGCAGCGTCCTCTGCTTGCCAGTGGTTTTTGTTGCCCAGGAGCCAGCGCATTGTAGCTCACGAGACATTGTGAGAAACACGATTGCAGCAGATCCAAACGTCAGTCGTGCCTCGGGGAACCCAAGACAACGCATTGTCTTGTTTCTAACTTCACGTTTCTTCACACTCCGTGGGGATTTTTAAAAATCTGAAAATTTATTTATACGGTCCTAGAGTAATCCGATGAGCTACAAAGCTCTTTTTCACAGATGTCTAGTATTTTCATTGATCTTTAATTTTAAAGGAGCAACTGACCTCTGAAGACATTAGTACAGTACTAACCAGAAGCAAAAAAAAAACTAATTCCTCATAAAAAAGGCCTTGAGTTCGCATGAAATATTTTATGAAGCCTCACATTCGACCGGGCACCGTCCCCCACTGTTAACAGCGGTGAGGAGTAGGAAGATATGTCCTGGTACTCAGCCGCAGATAGCTCTGGATGAAATTAAGCCCTGTTTGCCGAGAAAAACGAACTATAGGGAGCGTCTTTAAGATACATCATTAAGACTGAAATCTTTGGAGAAAAAATGTAAAAAAAACACAATGCAGTCCTAAAAGCGTTCCTAAGGTTGGTGTGGGGCTTTTAATAAGAACAAATGCCTTTCCCCCAAATGTTATGCAGATTGTGCTGTCAGTTTCATGTAAATACTTGACAATTCCACTTGGAACTATTACAGGGCAATACATGCCCACATGTTAGGTAACAGTCCGCAGACGCAGATATTACATAACGACTTCTGATATCTCTTACCTTTTATCCACACGAGGGACGTTTGACACCTACCTTACTCCAGACCGTTAGATAAAGAAGTTTGACGTCTGAGCCACCCAGTCACCTCTCGCCTGATGGAAATCAACCACAGACAACGACACGTCTCGCGCGATGCGTATTACCCGTGTAATCCATCGCTAATTATTGAATCAAATCGCGAACACAGGATCGTGATAATTCATTAAAGTGCAAGGGGGATAAATTATTACAAGCCGAGTGTATATGTAGAATAATCAGTAATCATCGACAGTGCACAATGAAGGCCTCCATACGCCACGTTTAATACATTATGATCAAATCATGCTGAGGGCATCCAATTAGTACTCTGGTTTCCTGCCGAATGAAGGCAAACACCTCATGAATGTAATTGGCCCAAACATCCCAATGCAAGATCCTCAAAATAAGCCTTGTGACTCTGATGCTTTGCTGTGTTTGCAATTACTATTCCAGTATCTTATCATACAGTAAATACATTACGTTCCATTTTTTTAAAGCACAAAACTATGGCATACAGCGGACACATGTCTAGGAGAGGTTATATTTTATACAAGGTTCTAAGTGTACATACGCTGCTCAGAAGAGCATAAAAAGGCATGTAAAATATGGCCGTCCGTTCAGTTGTTAGCGTGAGTGGTTACAGCATTTATCTGGAAGAAAAGGCCATGTGCAGCTTGTAAAGTGAACCGCATTTGCATTACAATGCAGTAGCGGGTAGGGTAACTACCATTTTTAGGCACGAAGACAGCAGTTTGCAAATTCAAGTCTCTTGACCCAAAAAGGCTGTGTCCATTTTCACACCAATCAATCTCTTCCATTCACATTCCGTCCCGTGGTGCATTGTACGAACTGTATGTGGCATAATGGGCATTGTGCCCGGCTCGCTGGGCTTACATGGAAAGCTGGATCATTGGTTGGTCACAAAACCTGGAGTTACCCATGTGCAGCGACTGATTAAAATGTGCCTTTAGAGATGAGTTATAAAAAAACATATTAAAGTTTTATGTAAGTGTACTTTGTTTATATGCAATACAGGGGAAGCTGTCCTACGGGTAATGGATGAACTTGCAATCCAGAGGTCGCCAATTCACGTCTCATGGCGTGGCAGTTGAAAGAATGGAGCGAGTTTCCTAAATTCCCCTACCACTGGCCGATATGTGTACACCACAGTGAATTGATGCAGTGGGGTACAGCATGGGTTCTCCCCACCTCGGACACAATGTATTACGTAAATCATTACCTGCCTATATTACACCACGGTTGAGCAAGGCGTTCTAAGTCCCGAGTGAGAAAATGCACTCTTTGTAACATTAGCCATTATCTGTCCAATGCTGAATGAAGGCCTCCCCACAAAGCCAGTCACCTTGCCGCTATACATGAGCCGCGCTCGTGACTCCATCTCAGGTTGATGGAGGGCGCACATTTTGTGTCGCCTCTTACCGAGCATCTGACTGCTTATACCGTGGGTGCCCCTACCTACGCCCGTGTGGCATCTCAGATTTTAGAGCCTCTCCATCTCATTCACCACGTCAAGGCAGCGCCTCAGAGAAGAATGACCTGCCTTTATATGTTGACCCGATATGTTAAAACAAAAAAAATGTTGTTGCGTACTGGAGACACGTTGTGCATACTGCATTACGGTGTGACAAACTCGACAGCTTGGATTCCGTTAGAGCCATGATTTACCCAGTGCCGAGGCCAACGCGATTCGCACCGCGCTTCACCGCGCAGGGTCTGCTTCATGCGAGTGCTGCCACATATCCTAACGCCAAGCGTTTATGCCGCAAAAATGTACTTCATAAAATTTCACCGTTAGTATTTCATGCACTCATACACAGCATGCTGTATGTGGAGACGTATAAAATATTCAACACTATGGGAGAGTTACTGCGTGAAATATTCTTTGCGACGTGGGATACAATACAGGCAGAGGCAATTGCAACAAAACTGACCAACTGGCTATTTACATTAACACACTATGTCCTTCTGTTGTGAATGTCATAGAGTTCTTTCTCTGTCGCCACCTTGGCGAGATGTTAATTACCTCACCTGATATAAAGGAAGTCGTGGTTCGATCCCGACCCTGATGCCTCTTTAATTGCAATTTGCATATTCTCCCCATGGTGGCGTGGATTTTTCTCCAGGTCCCCCAGTTTTTCCCCTCAAATTTAGAATCGATATCGCGCGTTGACAATATTTTACAGCTATAAATTTCCACATGAGGAGTCCCTCCGTTGAGCTATCATTTGTGGCCAGGTCCCTTGTGAAATAGAGCTACATAGCTCTTTGGGCTTTACCTGGTGAAATAAATATAGTTTAAAGTATGTATATGCATGCATTGTTAATTTGGAAATGTTCTTGAGATATCGTTCCTGGATTTAAACCTGAAAATTATTAAACCAGACATTGCGATTTACAGTGTCAGGCTTCATAGCCTACCCCACACAGTGCAGTACAATAAATAAAAAAAATCTATATTAGAGCACGTATTGTGTACTGAAGATATGCAGTTCTGTACAAGGCATACTGTAGTCGACATAGGTCCACATTGATCATGATAATTCCATCTGGCAGTCGAGGTGAACGATTGTAGTCCGCCCAAAGCATCGCTGTACTATATTCCAATTTATCCTTTCATTTCAGAGTGTGCACTACGGTACTATATACGTACTCCTACCTATCGATATACAGTGAGGGAAAAAAAGTATTTGATCCCCTGCTGATTTTGTACGTTTGCCCACTGACAAAGAAATTATCAGTTTATAATTTTAATGGTAGGTTTATTTGAACAGTGAGAGACAGAATAACAACAGCAAAATCCATAAAAACGCATGCCAAAAATGTTACAAATTGATTTGCATTTTAATGAGGGAAATAAGTATTTGACCCCTCTGCAAAACATGACTTATACTTGGTGGCAAAACCCTTGTTGGCAATCACAGAGGTCAGACGTTTCTTGTAGTTGGCCACCAGGTTTGCACACGTCTCAGGAGGGATTTTGCCCCACTCCTCTTTGCAGATCTTCTCCAAGTCATTAAGGTTTCGAGGCTGACGTTTGGCAACTCGAACCTTCAGCTCCCTCCACAGATTTTCTATGGGATTAAGGTCTGGAGACTGGCTAGGCCACTCCAGGACCTTAATGTGCTTCTTCTTGAGCCACTCCTTTGTTGCCTTGGCCGTGTGTTTTGGGTCATTGTCATGCTGGAATACCCATCCACGACCCATTTTCAATGCCCTGGCTGAGGGAAGGAGGTTCTCACCCAAGTTTGACGGTACATGGCCCCGTCCATCGTCCCTTTGATGCGGTGAAGTTGTCCTGTCCCCTTAGCAGAAAAACACCCCCAAAGCATAATGTTTCCACCTCCATGTTTGACGGTGGGGATGGTGTTCTTG